CCTCCCGGGCTCAGGTAATTCTCCTGCCTCAGCCTCCTGAGTAGCTGGGATTACAGGTGCTTGCCACCACACCAGGGTAATTTTTGTATTTTTAGTAGAGATGACTACTTTAGTAGAGATGACTACGCCATGTTGACCAGGCTGGTCTTGAACTCCTGACCTCAGGTGATCTGCCTGCCTCAGCTTCCCAAAGTGCTGGGATTACAGGTGTGAGCCACCATGCCTGACCAGGAATTTTCATATTAATTCCATGATTTTATGTAATCTATAATTCACGTTCAAATCTTATTCACTGTGCCCATAATGCCCACGGGAACACAGTTTCTCCTTCCCTCCAGAATCCAGTCCAGAGCCACAGTTTGCATCTAGTTGTCATTTAATCTCCACTACAGTCTAACGGTTTCCCAGCCTGTCTTTGTCTTTTATGACATTGATATTTTAAAAATATATGGGATACTTATTTTATAGATAGTTCCTCAGTTTGGGTTTGTGGTGTTTCCTTATGATTATGTCTAGGTAGATTTTGAGGGCTCTTCCATGAAAAGCTAAAAATCACAGATTCTTCCAATGTTTTCCCATTTCATTCAGAATGAAATCTGCATGCTTGGCCAGGCACAGTGGCTCACTCCTGTAATCTCCACCCTTTGGGAGGCCGAGGTGGGTGGATCATGAAGTCAGGAGAAAGAGACCATCCTGGCCAACACGGTGAAGCCTGTCTCTACTAAAAATACAAAAAATTAGTCAGGTGTGGTGGTCTGCACCTATAGTCCCAGCTACTTGGGAGGCTGAGGCAGGAGAATCGCTTGAACCGGGGAGGCAGAGGTTGCAGTGAGCCAAGATCATGTCACTATACTCCAGCCTGGCAACAGAGCAAGCCTCCGTCTCAAAAATAGAAAGAATGAAATATGCTCACTTTATCAAGCCCTGCAAGTCCCTGTGAGGCCTGTTTTTTATAGCCTCCTCCTGACCAGGCTCTGGTTCACTCTGCCTCTGGGTCTTTGCACCTGCTGTTCCTTTTTCTAGCATGCTCTTCCTTCAGGGTCCTTGCCTGTCTCACTCCCTCCTTCATTCAGGTACATTTCATCACACACTGCAAGATAATCTCAGATTCCCATCCACAGCATTCTTTCAGTGTTCAGAGCCCTCCCTTCCTGCCAGACTTCTGACAGCCTTCCTCTTCCTTTCCCTCCCCGAAAGAGTGGGCGTGTGCTTAACACAGACTGATACTTCGCTCTTTGGAACTAGCCTGGTGCCCCTTCAGTGCCCTGTCAGGATGGAGTTTGTATGTAAAGCACTATTAATTTACATGACAGTGACATCTAGTGGACCAGCTGGGACCAGCTTTGAGCTAAAGGCTCTTGATACCCCTCAAGACCCAAAGACAAAATAAACAAACAAAAAAACAACAAAAAGCACCACCTTGAATTCTGGACAGAGAGTCTGAGGTGAGATCTGGAGAATCCAGCGAGGTTGCTGTGGAGATGTGACATGGCCACTGATGGGCTAAAGATATCTGAAGACTCAGGTTTCTGTTCTGTGTGTGATGAGGAGGGGAATAGACGCCAGGCCTAATAGTAGAAAAATAAGACACACTGGTGTGTGAGACTGCTAAAGTTAGTATAAATTCATTTTTCAAGAGATCAATTTTTAATTCAAAAGGTATGAACATGCAATGGTGTATGCTCTCGTCAAGTGATGGTGATGATTCAAAATGGAAGAATTCATTAAGTGTACTCAGCTGAGGAAAAAATTAGTAAATTTTTCTATTTATTTATACCTTAAAATATAAATACAGGCTGGGCATGGTGGCTCATGCCTGTAGTCCCAGCTACTCAAGAGGCTAAAATGGGAGGATAACTTGAGCCCAGCAAGATGAGGCTGCAGTGAGCCATGATCATGCCACTGTGCTCCAACCTGGATGACAGAGTGAGATCCTTTCTTTAAAAAAGTAAATATAAATATAAATACAGTTGACCCTTGAACAAGATGGGGTGTTAGGAATGCCAACCCCCCATGCAGTCAAAAATGTATGTATAGCTTTTGGATCACCAAAAATTCAACTAGTAATAGGCTACTTTTGACCGGAAGCCTTACAGATAACATAACGGTCAATAAACACATATTTTTAATGTTATGTGTATTATGTACTAGATTATTATAATAAAGTAAGCTAGAGAAAACATGTTAAGGAAATTGAGGAGCAAGAAGAGAAGGCGTTAGTCTCAGGGGCGGCAGAGGTGGGAGAAAAATCTGTGTGTAACTGGATCCTGCAGTTCCAACCTGTTATTATTCAAGGGTCAATGGTAAACCAAATGCTTGAATATTGAGACATTACCTAAAAAGCAGCTTTACTTTTTTTTATTTTTTGACAGGGCGTCTCGCCCTGTTGCCCAGGCTGGAGTGCAGTGGCACCATCTTGGCTCACTGTAACCTTCGCCGGTTCAAGCACCTCTCCTGCCTCAGCCTCCTGAGTAGCTGGGAGTACAGGTGACCACCGCAACACCTGGCGAATTTTTGTATTTTTAGTAGAGACACGGTTTTACCATGACTTTGTGATTTCACTCTTGTCACCCAGGCTGGAGTGCAGTGATGCACATCTCAGCTCACTGCAACCTTCGCTTCCTGGGTTCAAGCGATTCTTCTGCCTCAGCCTCCCAAGTAGCTGGGAGTACAGGCATGTGTCACCATGCCTGGCTAATTTTGTATTTTTAGTAGAGAAGGAGTTTCACCATGTTGGCCTGGCTGGTCTTGCCCTGACGTCAAGCAGTCTGCCCTTCTCAGCCTCCCAAAGTGCTGGGGTTACAGGCATGAGCCACTGAGGCCTGCCAGTCTTATTGTTGCTGATAATCTGATGGATAAGCAAGGCAAAACATAACTTATTTTATTTTTATTTTGCATTTCTCTTATGAGTGATATTAACTTTTCATCTGATTTCTTCTCTGTGAATTGTCTCCTTATACTTTAACCAATTTTCTATGACGTTATTTTTTTTAATTGGTTGGTAGGGGCTCTTTATATATTAGGTTAATTTACATTTTTTCTGATATATGAGTTGCATATATTGTTTTTCAGTGTATCATTTGTCTTTCAACTTTGCTTATGATGGTTTCTGCCGTGCAAGATGTTCTTATAGTTTAGGTTTTCGTGTTATGCTTGGAAAGGCCTTTCCTTTTCTGAGATTATAAAACCAAAAACTACTGTATGCTTTCTTGGAGTACTTTCCTGGATAAGCTTTTCAACTTAAATATTTGATCAGTCTGGAATTTGTAGTGTTGTCACTTTATGTTTTCATGTGCTGAATTGTTCTGACATCATTCATTTAATAAACTACTTTTCTCCATTTAAAGTGCCACTTTTACTGTACTCTAAATTCTTTGTCTTTTGGGCGGCAGTATAGGTTTCTTTTCCATCCAGTTGATTTACAGAGAGGAGAAGATTTTTTTCTTTTAAGGTAGACTTTTTTGTTATTGTTGAGATGAAGTCTCGCTCTTGTCCCCCAGGCTGGAGTGCGGTGGTGGTACAATCTCGGCTCACTGCAACCTCTGCCTCCCGGGTTCAAGCGATTCTCCTGCCTCAGCCTCCTAGGTAGCTGGGATTACAGGTGCCAGCCACCATGCCCAGCTAATTTTTGGATTTTTAGTAGAGATGGAGTTTCACCATGTTGGCTAGGCTGGTTTCAAATTCCTGACCTCAGGTGATCTGCCCGCCTTGGCCTCCCAAAGCGCTGGGATTACAGGCCTAAGGTAGACTTTTAGTAACTGCTTTTATTACCAGGTTAAGTCATGGAGTTACAAAGTAGTTAGAAATTCCTGAAAGGGCATGATAGGTTTTTGAAAGCTCATTTTTGCATGTATTATAATCTAGCACTTGTTTGGGACGATACTGTTCAAAAGGCCCTGACCAAATAACTCCCAAATCAAACATTCAACCCAAGGTTGTTTTCAGCCCACTGTTTGTGAAGCCGAGTGCAGAATGCAAAGCCTCTCACAGAAGAGGACACAAAGTCAGACCGAGTAGAGGCCATGGGCCATGCAGGGCCGGCCAGTCTCCAAACAGGGAACTCACGTGTTGTTTTTTCTGGGACATTTTATTTGAATTATTGTTCGATTCGTCAACCGCAGACCTTCAAAAGAGAACAATTTGATAGCATGATAAGGAGGTTATTGCATTCTTTGGCCTGTGTGTCATAATTAGAGTTAGCAAACTCCAACAGTCTTCGTAAAAATGGCCTCTCCCATTTTTGCAGGTATGAAGATAATTTAATTCTCCATAGGGCTTCTTAATTTTCCTGGACAACAAGACAGGGCCAATAAACTCTACACAGTACTGTTTTATGATATAAAAATACTAGCTTTTTAAATTTATGACGTTTATAGGCATTCACTGCTTGAATCAAGGTTAGGCTTGTTAAAAGATTAGAAGTAATTTTATTACAGCAGCATGTACTGATTTTATTCCAAAAGAATAAAATTAATAAGCAGAAACAGCTTTTATTTTTGTTTGCATCCTGTAAAATGGAGTTATTTTGCTTATGTAAAATACCAATAACTCACGTGAGGACCATGTCACCTTTTGAAAATGCTACATACCTACTTCTAAATGTGTTAAAAGTTACAGCACATCCCAGACTTGTCCAGAGCAAAAGAAGTATACATCTGATTGCTCTTCACTGCGCCTTCCCCAGCAACAGTTGCTGATTGTGTTGGGGAGAGCCACAGAGCAAGGCTGCACAGCCAGATGGAAGAGACTTTTTATTTAGAGGCAAAGCACCTACATCTCTCTCTCTGGTGTCTGTAATTTCTACTTTCAACCTCATCAGCTTGTACATGATCCCCTAACCTTAATTTCTTTCTCTTTAAAAGGCTGATTTGGATCGATTTGTTAAGAATGGTGTCCACTATCTAAGAGAGAAAGGGATTTCTGTGGTTACATATAAGCCTGTGGTAGCTCTGCAGAAGTTACAGGTGGAGAGGGTAGCAAGGAAGTCACCCACGAGCCATCTACACAAAGGTCACACTGGCTTCATTGCATACTTTGAAGCCTTTCTGAATGGCGTTGACATAGACGGTGGTTCTCAGGTTCAATCTGAGGTTACACTTCATGACTAGGCACATAATTTGCGTGGCAGAACACTCCACTGTGTACGCCAAGCCAGTGTGCACGGTGTCTTTCTCTGAGGCACCTGATATCCTGTCTTGGAACTCTGCTGTGGGTATAATGAGAATAGTTCCATAGTGCTTTCCAAATTTTCTTGCTAAATTCTCTTGAACAGACATGAGCAAGTAGCAGTTAGAACCCCTTTCATATTTGAAGGTCAAACAGCCATAGCTGACATGATTTAGATTCTTCAGCCACTCGGAGCAGGATACTGTCCCTCCTTTGGCATTCGAGTAGAGATCTGGAATAATCATAACGCTTCAGTTCCTCCCTGTCACACACACTCCTAGTTCTCCCGTCTTGAAAACTCCCTCTCTGGACCTCACTTTGCCTCCTGCCTCTGCCGACTTCTCTCTTTTTTTTTTTTTTTCCTTAAGAAACCCCCTAAAACAGTTGTTCACATGCACTGTTTCCACTTTTTCTCCTTCCATTCTTTCCTGAACCCACACACACTGGGCTTTGCACCCAATATGCCACCAAAACTGTCCTAGCCAAGGACACCAATGACTCCAGGTATGATTTGTCCAGGACTGTCTTGGTTTGTGCCTGTTGTCTTGGGATAATTATTAATGGAGTCTCCTTTTTCTCTCAAAGAGGATGTATATATCTCATACATACATGTACATATGAGCCATATATATATATATATATATATATGTATATATTACATATGTATCAGATATCCATATGGAGTAGGAATAGTCCTTTACATAAAAGACTATTCATATTCACAGTGAAGTTATCACCATGTTGCCGCAAAGGATATGGTTTCATTCTTTTGTGTGGTTGTATAGTATTCCATGATGTCTATATACCACATTTTCTTTATGCTATCAACTGCACAATATGAATGTTTTTGAAGAATAGTCTCCTCTGACTTTTCTTTGTTTTTGAGACAGAGTCTCACTCTGTTGCCCAGGCTGGAGTGCAGTGATGCAGACTCAGGTCACTGCAACCTCCGCCTCCCAGGTTCAAGCAATTCTCATGCTTCAGCCCCCCAAGTAGCTGAGACTACAGGCATGCACCACCACACCAAGCTAATTTTTGTATTTTTTATAGAGACAGGGTTTCACCATGTTGGCCAGATTGGTCTCGAACTCCTGACTTCAAGTGATCCGTCCGCCTCGGCCTCCCAAAGTGCTGGGATTACAGGCATGAGCCACTATGCCTGGCCTCCCTCAACTTTTCCGTACAGAATATTCTTTATTTTCTGTGAGTCACAGCCTCACTCTTAATTGTAGAGCTCCACTGCCTTGGTGAGGGGGCTGAACAGAAATTTGTGGCCATATCCTCTCCCTAATCCAGAGAACCAGATCCCAGGCTCCCGGTGTGGACCTGGGTAGTGGAGTAGCGGGAGAGGGAGGGAAGAAAGTCCAAATTCTCCTCACACACAAGTTCAGGTCTCACTCTTACCCAGAGATCACTACCCATGCTCGAGTACCTGGTTTCAGAGATCTCTTGGCTTGGTCACTGGCTGACCTATAGTGTCAAGTCACAAGGCTGTGTGTGAATTGGCCTGTGGAAGGGCTCCTTAGGGTCATGGGGACAGAGAATGAATCTTAACGCCTCTGAGCTGGCTCTGCCCCATATACTGTCCCTTCATTCCTGCCTCCTGCTTTTCCCCAGCCACCCAGATCCCTCCAGTGACCACTGCCGGGCTCTCTCTGGACTACTAAAAGCCACCTAGGGTTCTAGGCACATAGCCCTTCCTGCTGGGAAACAGCTCTTTGGGGCTATCCATCCTTCCTTCAAGGCCTATAGGAGCTGCTGTTTACCCATGTCAGCCTCAGAGGAACCTTGGAGCAAATGGCATGATGCCATTTCCCCTGCTGAGCAAGAATGAGTTTGTTCTTATATGAGGGCCCCAAAATATTTGCATCCTGTTAGGGTTAGGGAAAGATGTCTTCCAGCCGGTCTTGCCAGGAAATCCAAGGCGCTTTGGTAGAGTGTTGCCTTTGACCACAAGCCCTTGTCGCTGTCACTGGCCTCGCAGGAGGAAAACTTGGTTGGGGTCTCTCACCATGGACTGGTCTTGTTTGCTTCCCTCTCAGCTTCGCTTGTTTGGAGTAAGGCTTGTGGAGCCTGCTTCTCCCTGTCCGCCCCAAGCAGGAGTCCCCATGGGTGCTCCTGGACCAGCCTCAGCCCCTCTCACCTTCCACCGATTATTTTCTGGTTTGACCCCCTCACCTACCAACTTAGCACTTGTTGATTCTCCACCATACTGACCCTGCATGGATCTGGGGACCACCAAAGAGCCTGCCTACTTCTTTCCTGAATGTTAGTTTACAAAATGATTGACACAGCTAAAATCACTTCAAGCTGGTGGGCAGAGGCCCCAGCCCTACCCTGGCATGCCCTTGTTCATGGGAGCCCTGACTTAGCAGAAGATCTTACCATGGGGGATCCGGGAAGGACTCTAAAGAGGATGCTGAGGTTCCTGGGAGCCTCTTTCGTGCCTCCCCATCCTGAGTTGACTGGCTCTGCTATGATTAGGAAAGTTTTGTCCTGTGCACCTAAGTGAAGTGGGCATTTTTGGCAACTCCCTTGTTTCACGGAACAGTCAGCTTAGCACCAAGAAAAACATCACATTTATGTGTTCACAAGATCTCTTAATCATGAGCAAATTATTTGCTGCTCACCATATGAAAAAATGAACTTTCTGAGTGCTTGGAATCAAAGGAAAAGTGAAATTAATGGATCAAAGAGAGCTTGGACAACAACATGAATGAAGACCTCACTTTCCAAAAGCATGTTTAAACACTTTATTTAGAAAACATTCCCAAAGTTTATAAATAGTGCCTAGCTATCAGTTTCAGCATCAACCTTAGAGAAGCACTTCCAGCTTTCTGAGTTTCTGTGACTGTAGCCAAATGGGTTTGGAATGGAAACTTTTTTTTTTTTTTAAATCTGGCTTGTTGTTTCTTCTGTGGCCACAATATTTCTCTGGAACATGGGATTACTCAATCAATCAAATATTTATTGAGTAACCAGACAACCAATGGAAAAATTAGACTTAGATCATACTGTATTCCATATTCTTGGGCTGGGTAGATTTACCTTAAACACTTAAGAAAATTAAAATCACTAATAGTCATATTTGCTTTGGAGCTTAGAAAAAGAATCTGCTTGGTTAAAAAAGGAGACACACACCCATGCTCAAGCAAATACTTGCCCATGACACTTGGCAAATAAAGAATTCACACACTCAGTTGCCTCATTCCAGTATCTACTTGTGATCATTTCTCTCCATTTTAGCTGTTTTCTCTTTAATATGTCAACAATACCCATGACACCCACTTGAAACTGGGATCCATGAGAATTAAATTTCAGTCTCTTCAATTTCTTATAGGAACAGGAGGGCTGTAAGAGATTGCAGGCTCTGTAAGTCCAAGAGACTTAAGTTCAACATAAACAGTGTGTATTGAGGAAAGGCTGTACACATACTTATGCTTTTAGTAAATGGCTGTTGTGGGAATCATTAGTGCTATTTAACAATATTTCCAATTCTCCTATAGCTTGGGACGTGGAAACATTTCACTGCTTTGCCAATTTGAAGTTAGGGTTGGCCATGTGACTTGTTTTAGCCAATATCATGTGAGCAGAAGTGATTGTTTTTGGGCAGATGCACAATTTTCCACGTTCCTTTCCATTTCCATGGCAACTGGTGATGTTCCAGTTCACAGAGACTCCATTCACATGGATCTCTAAGTGAGGATACTATGAAAAAGTATCCTCTGCTGACCTGAAATGGACACAGGCAACAAATAATAATTTGTCCTAGGCCACTAAGATGCTGGGTTATTTTTTTTTCCTGCAATGTAACCTTGCATATGCTGAATAACACGGAAATTGGTACATACAAGTGGGCTGTGGCTTTAACTAAAGATCTAAAATAAATTATGTTGGCTTAAGGTCCAGGTAGTGAGTGGCAGGAAACTGTGCATGCGGTAATTTAGAATGTAGATTGTTCTGGTAAGCCTTTGCCTCTAGGGGAAGAGATTGGGAGAGAAGATTATTCTTAGTATAATAGTATGTGCTTCGGTGATGGCTGCTTTTGGCAAGATGTTACAAGAAAGAGGTAAGCTCAAAAAGAAATTGGCTCATATTCAAGCAGGAATGTCAGAAAATAGAGTTCAGGAACTTATAAGCCTGAAAGAAGACTCCATTCTAAATAGCAAATTATAATACTGAGAAAAACTTCAGGGGCAGGGACCAACTGAAAGTCAATCTTGCATCACATAACAAAGTAAGGATACAGTCATCGCACTTACTGTTGAAACCTGTGAATACAGATGTTTCTGAGTAACAGTTCCAATTAGTGATATTGTAAGCAGGGGTGGGAGGCACCCACTGTTCCTCCCTCAGATGTGTTTTTTCCAGGTCCTTGCGCTCTCACTGACCCAAGAATGGGTAGGAGTCCAGGGCAGCGGCGATATTGTTCAAGTAAATATCGGACCCAAAGAGTTTTGCAGAAAAGTGATTTATTAGGCAGAGAGAGAGAAAGAAAAGTAGGGAGAGACAGAAAGCCAGCTCCCACACTGTCGTGGGAGGGGATCTCAGAGACAGAAGTTTGCACAGGTAAGGGGCAGGGAGTCTTTTAATCTGGCAGTCAGTCCGGCCCCATTCAAGTTATTGTCCCATGAGAGGAGTTCCTACAAACTTCCGCTGGAGTGATTGATCTGATTGGTTGTTTGGCCCACAGTCCTCCCATAGCTTTTCGAGGGTTTTTTAAACAAAGGGAGCTCACCTGGGCAGTCTACCTTTTCTGTGGAAATTAGACAAAGAACTCTAGGCTCCCGATGGAGACGTGAAAGAAGGCAGGTCAGACATGTCTCTGGGAAGTTCTTGCCTTTGAAAGCACATCCCTTGTGGACCCAGAAAGAGAAGTTAGCACGTTCCCTCAATTTGGTGTCCAAAAAACTGCTTTCACTTGTACAAAATGGCTCAGGGAAAAGAGATTGTATATGTGGTTCTTTCATTGAAGCCTGAAAGCTTCAGGAAATTGAAATTAAAATCGTAGAGGGATGGGAACACAAAAGCCAAGAAGAATTGTCAATATGAGAATTGTATCTCAAATTGAACTATGGTTATTGGCATACAGAGCTGGCTAGAATAAAATACACAAGAAGCGATGTTTTTGACAAGAGTGGCATTGACAAATGAAGTATCAATCAGTTTGGACTGAAAAAATATGGTGATTGTTTAAAACTTATAAAATGACTTTGGGACTCCAATCGTGTAAGAGTAGGAAATG